TTCTCAGGAGGAGAAATGTGTAGTCAGATGGCAGCTGAGGAGAACGTTGGGAGCCATTAAAGTGGAGAAATGAAGCCTGAGTGTGCAAGAAAATATGACAGTCAAAGGGGAGGTTGTGTTGGGAGGACATGGGTGTGTATGCCAAATGCAGGTGAAGTATTTCATGTTCTCCGATTTATAATGAGCATATTGCAAGAATTGAACCATAGGTTCATCCAGGTTGGAAGGATGTTCAAACACGATCTAGTCCAATGTGTTGTATCTGGAAATTTTGCTATTCTTAGTACTTCCCCATCCCTTTCCCACTTGTATTAATCAGAGAAAAAAGAATCAGAAAAACCAAGCACTCTGTTAATGGGAAGCCTGGCAGAAGCTGAAGGCACTCAGAGGACAAGGCTTCTGCTGACTGTCCTTGTTTTGCTGTTTCTAGTTTCCTCTTATCACTGTGTGGTGCACACTGGAAATGATCAATCAAGGCTCATGAACAGGATCTTTTCATGCTGGCAAGTGAAAAATCAATTTGTGTTCGAAGGAGTAAACAGTAGCATGAGCTTCATTTCCCCAGAGTCAAAATGGATTCCTTGATAAAGGAGATGACAAGGAAAGCTGAGCTCCTGATGTATAAGCACATAGGTGCTCATGCGCAAGAAATGAGTGGACTCCTACATTATTTTACATGCTACATGTACCTTTTCAATAAAACAAAGGAAAAAGAGATTACTTGTTGAATGCCAGTAGTGCATCAATAAAAGCAGGGGGCTTGTTCACAAACAATATATACAGATGAAAATGTAGCTGGTCAGTTCTGGCAAAGACATTATTCATGGTGTATTTCTGCTTTATGGCACTACATTTGATTTTCAGAACTATTCTCTGTTACAAGTTGGAAGATTGTGTTGCTAACATTTCTGAGAAATGTCTGCTGTTGGATGTAAATTACAGGGAAAAGAAGCTTTATATATTTCTGTGCCATGAAAACAAAATCTGGTCTCATGCAGATTATAAATTGTCCAGGAGGTAAGAGTACTCAAGGAACTGTAGAATGAATAAATAGAAGGTTAGACCAATATGATTCATCAGATATAGTAACCATTCACCCAATGTCATTTGATCTGTATAAAATTAAAGGCTACTATTCCCTCACACTTAGATTTCTGCCCTCCTTCCCTCCCTTTAAAGTTTAGCACTGAGCCACCCAAGCCATACATTAAACCCTTTAGTTTCACATAATTTAAGCTCTCTCCTCTCTCTTCTGAGACCAAAAAGTGAAGAAAGCTGTAGAATGCTGGCTTGTATTAGGTGGAATATTTTGACCATCTGACCTTTCTCTTTTCTTTTTTTTTCTTTTCTTTGTTTTGTTTTGGCTTTTGGTTGTTGTTGTGGGTTTTAGGGTGTTTTGTTTTGTTTTGTTTTTTGTTTAGCAAGCAATATTTAAAAGTAAACATGAAGCACTTTGATGCAAAAGAGGCTTGCCAAATTAAAAGGAAATTGGAAGATGAGTTCAGTGTAGCATGTCGCTATTGTGAAAACTTCTTGCTTTGATTGAAGTTTCATTACCTCAGGACTTCTGTCTGCCCCTCATGTACCATTCACTGTTCTTCAGTTTGGGGTTTGTGAATGCACTGCCAGCCGAGAGAGGAGCTCATGATGTGAGTTGCAACCACTCAGTCTGGCAGAAGCCAAATTCCTGAGATCTGTTTTTTTAGTTGAGTTAGACCATGCTGCTCATAAAGGAAGAAAAGCACCAAAAGCATGCACAAGTGCAAGCTCTGCCCTCCTTTTTAGACTCTGATTAGTGATGAAACCTGAAGAGGAGAGAGGGCATGAAGAATCACATAATGGGTCCTAAAATGTTTGATTTTTATTAGATTAGGAAAATAGTAGTATGGGATGAATGTCCAGTCTTGACTAAACTACAGAAGGAACATGGCAGTTTATTAATGGCAATTCTAATAATAATTTGTTATAGCGCTTGCACTTGAGAAAGTGATGAATATTGTATCTGCTCTGTTTCATTCTGTCCCGATGAATCTATGCTTGGATGCCATGTGGGCCTGCTCACACTTGTTAGCTGAACGTGAGTGTTTATGAACAATTAAACTTGCAATTTTTAATTCACACTTTGAAAGGTTGAGAGGTTGTTTTTACTTTTTTTCTTCCCCAAGACAGACTAAATTTATAATGCATCTGTGCCTTTCAGGTCTCTTAGAATGTGCAACTGCAGCATGAATTTAGAAAAATGGTCTCATTTTTTTAGAAATCCATTAATAGTAATGTATTGAAAGACTCTTACATTGATCTTCTCTCTGATAGGCATGTTGTAATAATTATTCTTTTAATGTTTGCATCAATCTAACTGTTTTCCTCTTTGTGCTTGCTCCTACTTGGATCTCCCTATATGACAATCACAGCACTTTGACATCTTGCCTTACTTTAATACCAGTGATTCAAAAGAAAGCAATGCCAAAGGGAGCAAAAGTTCTGTCAAACCATTAAAATCTTTGCCATTAACACAAATTGATGCATGAGCATTTAAAGTTATTAGCAAGTGCTGCCAGCAGAAGCTGGTTACAATTGCATAATATATAGCAGGCTTTATTAAAGTAAAATGGTATGTTTATTTTTATTATCATCGTTAGTTCTGAAGTAACATAAACAGGTCTGTGAATTGGGAGACAACAGTGAGAAGAACCAAGAACATGCTCTGTCCTGTATTAATAGTGAGGGACACAGTCATCACTTTCCTAAACAAAGAAATACACATGATACCTTGGCTAACCAATACAGCTGGTATGTGTAATGGTAGGGAAGGGTGTTAAGTAAAGAGAGTTCTGTACCTCTGCTGCTTTTACTCTTCCCAGTCGGACTCACTCAGCTGGATTTTGGGCTGCTCCTGTTTCTGCGGTGAGAAATTTTGTGGTTGATGTGTTCACTGTAAGCTTATTGGAGGACTGTTTGTTTTGTTTTCTCATATTCCAACATACTAGTTTTTCAATGAAAAAAAATGAAGCGTGTATTAGAGATGTGTTCTGTCCCGCAGCACAGTGCAGTAACACCCCTGCTTGCTAACCTTTTGATTAACCATATTCCTCTCTGAATGGGGAGCTGGTATGAGAAATAAAAAAACCAGATGAGCAGAGAAATCAAAAGTATTGAGAGAGAAAAACGTAATTTAAAAGTAGGGAGATGAAGGAAGTCCTATCAAGTCCAAGTCCTGTGGTGTAAAGGTGGACTGCATGCCTCTTGCAGTTCATGCTGACCACTCAATGGCAGTTCTCAGCCACATTTGTTAGGTAATTTAAGCTGAGTAGAAACTGGGAACAAAAGGTAAGGTTCTTTTTTTGGTTCTTTGACAGTTGTAAGGTGATATTATCCAAAATAATAGTCTATAAAAATCACTAATACTCCTGTGGTGTAGTCATATTCACTTGGGTAATCCTTTACCATGATATTAATGAACTGTTGGGAATTCTGAGAACAGTGATGAAACAAGCCAAAGGGGAGGAAAATCTTATTTATCAGGGAAGAAGGTAAAATTTGAACATATAGCATTTGAGAAAAGTAGAGTATAAATTGGCATATATATAATGTCTGTGTATGGTGTAAATGGGAAGTAATGAATTACTTCTAGTAGTGGGGAGAGCTCTACAGAAAAGCTGAAGTGACAATGAAAACAAAATTTTGTTAAACCATTATAAAGAACATACCAAGTAGTTTATAACACTCCATACTTTATAAAGGGAAGGAATGGGAGACCGATTTCCCTACAGTTTTCGGGCCAGACTAGCCATAGTACTAGAAGATAGGGGAAAAATCTGCTACATTAGCAGAGCATGAGCTTGGTGATCTAAGAGGTCTCTGTGGTCTTTGACTTCTGTAGCGATGTGGATTTATTCTTGAAGCTTAGTGCTGGCTGAAATGCCGGCAAGAAGGCCATGGTCAGTGCTTTTGGTCAAGCTCTATAGCAGATTAGGATGACAGGGGTTAAGTTTAGTCATGACTATCTTTCACCAAACTAGTTACTAAGGGCAATAAGGTAGAAGAATCAGTCAGAAAAGTCTCTCTGAATATTTATGGCACAAAGGACTTACCTGTTCTTTGTTACCTTCCTGAATATTGTCTCTTCCTCTCCTGTTTTACCCCGTGATAAGAGCCCACCATAGCTATCTACAGGAGTGGCTGTACATACAGGTCACATCTGCTTGTTGTTTCTGTAATTATTCACAGTATTTAAAGGTTTTGTGCTCTTTCATATCCTTAGAATGGGTGATTGTGGCAAATGCTGTAAGTACCACTTAACAAGTATTTTCAAATGGAATATATTAGCAGCATCACTGTGTGTGTGCATGGGTGTGAATGGGTGCAGAGATAAATTGAATTTTTCTAAGGGGAGAAGGATCAGGCCTCTCGAGGTGGATACCTGTGTGCTGTGCAGGCTGCAGAGGACACTGAAACTGCAACAGGCTGATGGAATGAGGGACAACAAAATCAGCCTTATAGTCCAGCCAGTATTTTTCTACAGTATATATTTAAGTTTTAAGAGCTGTCAGGGCTGTTGACCTGTTAAGTTGTAGGATAAGATAGTTGATGACAACAGCTTTCTCCTGTTATCACCTCTGTCCTTCCCTTGCACATTAACTGTGGCAAGTTAAACCTCGCCCTGTCTCTGAAAGCTGCCAATGGAGGAACAGTGGGATCTTCTTCATTTACAGAAGTTTCAGGCAATTCCACTGCCAGTTCTCAACTGTGAGGAAATCAGAGTACTTTATTGCTTCAAAAGTGTCGTTAGGAACACAAAGCAGCGTGGAGAAAACCCCAACTCTTAACAAAATGGGTCCTGCTAATGATTTATGTTGATCTGAACTGGAAAATTTGGTAGGCAGCAGGTTTGGATGCAGCAGTCTTCAAACAAAGGCAGTTGCTTGTTAGCTGCTCACCTGTGTGGTTGAACTTTGCATCCAGCGCCTGACTAAACATTTCTTTTTTCTCTTTAAACCTAGGTTGCCCTTCCCAATGATTCCAGCTGTGTGGAAGAAATACTGCGAGTAAGTAATACCCTTTGCTTTTTTATCTTCTGTATAATTGTAGTGCTGTTTCTTTCATTCTCCAAGGAGAGGGTTTATAGGGCTGTCTTTAACACTGTAGTTAAATAATAACATTTCAGTGGGTTTGTATGAAAAGACACAGGCAGGGCGTAGGCCCAGGATGCTCCTTAGTGAGATAATTTCACCTAATACTCTGCATCTGCCAGCTTGTTTCAGTCAGGATTTACACATGTTCCTGTCCTTTTCAAGCTCTCAGTTTTGTTGAGGACTTACAGACATGTTTTTTCTGTGATCTTTGGTCAGTGGTTGAATACAGAAAATTGCCACTCCAAACTGAGAATGGCTTAATTGCAAGAAGATCGTGTAGTAAGAAAAAGGGAGTGTGCACAAGTTGTATGCCCTACTCTTAAGTGTAAGATGGGCTTTTCCTCAGACACCCCAACTCTGGAGTTCCCCTGTTGGCAGTGAGATTTGCCTGGGGGCAGTTTTTCAGCCCACCAGTCCCTCTCTCAGATTTAGGTTTTTGTTCTCATGAGTTGAGTTTCCCATCAGTTAGATGTACCTCTCTGGGATTGCTAGTCAACCAGTTAGTTTTCAGTGTAGAAGGGATAAAATTTCAGTGGGAATTTGTGCCAATCATGGCCTTGTTACTAGGAGGTAGTGCTGCAGACTTACCCAGACCTGAAATCATGTGTAACAGTCATGCCAGCTTGTTTGCAAAGACTTACTCTTGCTTATAAAATAAAATAAGCTTCTCACTATTCATTGCAATTCAGAGTTAAATAGCTTGTAAAACTTGCTCCTGGTTTGTGTACACACATTATCTTGGGCTGTTCTAGATGTCCTTATGGCTTGTCAGTGTTGCTGCAGAAGTGTGTTGAGGCAGTGGGCAGGTGTGCTCATGCAGACCTGCAGTAAGGGACAAGATTTTGCATGAGCACCCAGGAGTAATGAATGCAAGGAAATAAATAATATTTACTTTCAACCTTCAAAGTGAGTGGAGGTTTATTACCTATAGAACACTAAGGGAGCAAAAGCAAAGGAAATGTTGAAAGGCTGTGTGAAATACTTGGTACATTTTAAATGTCCTCTTCCTTTCTTTATATATTTTAATTAGGTTCATTTCTATATTTGGAATGAATGACTTGATGGCTGAGCAAAGCAGTTGTTTTCAGTAAACAGCATCAAAAGAAAATGTGATAGGATGAATTTCAGGATCAGCCATCCAGCTGATACTTTTAATGTGGGAACAGTGCATATAAATCACAGGAAGCAGAAATGTCTTTTTTTTAATCAAGATGGTGACCCTATTTCCTACACCATGACTGTAATCTGAGGCAACAAACAAGCACAATATTCTGGGCTTCCTTTTGATACCTGTTGAGATTGGAGCAGGACTTTCTGTAGCCTTTAGAGAATGGGGGTGAACTGCAGAGTCCCTGCTCCTGCCACTGATAGGCCATTGAGCTTGGGGGCACTCGTGGGGTGGACAGAGCAGGGACTTAGCAGGACTCCATGTCTCTGGGGATCTGTCTCACAAGGACATGTAATAGGCATGTGAAGAAGGAATAAAAATCAGCAGATCTTTCTGGACTACAGCTGCAGGTTCCCAGAGGCACCCCTCATGCCCATGCTGGAGAAACCTGTCTACCTTAGCCACTGGCATGGCCAGAAGCACCTGGAGCACATGACACCAGATACATGACAGGAGATACAGTCTTGGCACCTGGACCTCAGCCATGATTACCTCAGAGTGCGCCCCTTCATATGTAGGAGGGTGGTTTGGTACTTCTTCACAGGGGCTCTGTGCCCTCAGTGTGGCATTGGGTTTTCTGGGCACCCACAGTCCCAGCCTTCAGTCTTTTTTAACCTGCCTGCACTGGGCTGCACAGCCCTGCCTGTGTGAGCACTGCAACCACAGAGCTGTTTTGGGACTGCCCAGAAAAGACCCAGCAGACCCTAGCCCCAGCTGGATGCCCTCATGACAGTGGCTCGGGATTCCAACCACGTGGTGCTGAAGCACACCTGGCACTAGAAGTACCTGGGTTTGTGTTTTACTTTGTTCTTCTCAAATTTATGCTGCAGACCAAGCTAGCAGAAAACGTGTTTTGGCTGCATGCAGGGTATCATATTCTACTTGACAGGCAATGGAGAGAAAATAAGCAAGAGAGTGTGATGTCCCGCAGTGGTCAAAATCCTTTGTCTTTGGGCTCCCCATGGAAATGCCATATCAGAAGATTAAGGCTGGCTGCTCCCCATGAATGAGCCTTGGTTTCAGCAGAAATTTGCACTTTGAGAACATGGATTAAGTTTCCAGCCCTGACAGGTACTTTTTGGCCTTTCAGGGCCATTTACATAGGCTGTGATGAACTTTTGGGAGCGTGGGTCTTAGCTCCCTCATGGCAGCTTCTCTCCGTAAAAACACCAGGTTATTCACATTTCTGTCCTGTCAGGGATGTTACAGAGGTAGAGACAAAGGATTCTAAGACAGTCAAGCCCCAAAGGCAGACAACTGGGCTGTAATTGTGTGTTTTGCCAGCCTGGCAATCCCTGGCAGTTTCTGCTCTGGGCTGTGTCTGCTGCCAAGCTATGCTCCCCAAAGAGCTGGGGAAGGGTGCTCTGCCTGGCACTTACCCATGGAGCAATGCATACCTTGAAGTTTGCATTTCTTTCTGGTTTTGATTTGTTTTGGTTTTTTTAAATTGGGGAATTAAGTGATTTAATTCAGCTCCATCCCTCAGACACAATAAATCTCAAGGGTTTCTTTGCTAGACAAGGAAGAGGTACTCCTGCAACGATCTGTGACCTCATTTTACACAACTCTTTTTTCAAACTGAACTTGATTAATGGTTTCTGTAATTGTAGAGGTTTGTAATTCCTAATCTGTCTTCTTATTTCTTTATTTTTTTCCATATTAGAGGAAAAGGTTTAATTTCATTTATATTCTAAAATTTTCAACTGAGTGAGGGGAGGGGTCTTGACTCCATTCAGACCCCTGAGTCTTCAGAGACAAAATTTCACAGTCCTTTAGATTTCCTGAAACATTTAGCTACTTATGTCATCTTGTGTAAATGCTTTAAGGACTGCTCCCAATACAAGAGCCAAAGGTTAATAATGGCAGACCAGTCTTCTGTTGATTTTACTTTTATAACCAGGATGGCTGAGAAGGTTGTGAAAAATAATAATTATCATCATCATTCTCATAATCTCTTAGACAACTAATGCCAAAGAGTAATTAATTTCATTTTGTACAGATTGCTAATACCAAACTGAAAGATAAAGGGAAATAACTGGTGGTCTACACTTTTTTCAGTTTCAAAATATGTTTGGTTTTTTTTTTTTTTTTTTCCAACCAGTGGTTTTTAAAGTGTAGATATGTGCTGGTTTTGCATTAATCGACATTTGGTGAGAAAGGAAGAAGCCACCCACGGAAATTATTTTCCTGAGAGGGGCTGCTAAGAGCTTCCTCTGATCCTAGCAGAAACCAATAGCTGGCTAGCTCTGAGAACTGACAACCTATTAAACTGTTAGAAGCTAGGTCCGCCTCTGTGAGATTCACATTTTAAAGAGAGGCAAGGCCGGGAAATGGTTGTCTTGGCTTCTGGCTTTTGAAGAGGTGACGGGGTGCTGGTGGGACCCGCCCCGTGTGGCCTGCACGGCCGGGCTGGGCCGGCCCCACGCGGCCCGACCGAGATTTTCTGCTCCCTGAGGGGTGGTGAGCGGGCTGCCGAGCCCCTCACCGGGGAGCCCACCGGGCCCCGTCCTGACGGGCGGCTGGGGCCCCTTCGCTGCGGGGCCGGGCCCCTTCTCGGCAGAGCCCGCCGGTCCTTTTTCCTGCAGCACTGCCGGGCCATGCCAGCCGGGGGCTGTATCGGCGCTGGGAGCGGCCCCGAGGCCAGGAGCGGCCGGGGCCGGGACTGCAGGGCTGAAAAATCAACCAGAACAGCAGCGTGCGGCCGTGGCTGCTTCAGCATGGCTCGCAATGAACTTTGTTTGTTTAGCCGCTTTTAGCCAGCCATGGTGCGGACAGAAGGACAAAAACGGCAGCAGCAGCAGCAGCTTTGCTTGTTTTCGGCGCTCCGCATGAAGAAAAGTGCTGAGTGAAGCCGGCGGTCGGCACGGCTCACACGGTGTCGGCAGAGACCCCGTGAGCGGCAGCGAGAGGCACGGCAAGCGATCTCCTTGATGCACAGCCCGGATTGAGATCAACTTCTCAGCGCCGCAGAACTCCGTAAAAACTGCTTCAGTTGATACAGCTCGAGAACAAACGAACCTACGAACACCAATTCTCTCCCGAATCAGGAAAAGGAAAGGGTGAAGACACGTAAGGAAAACAACATGGGACAAAGAGGTCAGAAAGAGTCAAATTCTAGTTAGGAGGGGATTGAGGAGATGCCTTGGTCTTCGGCTGAAATTCACTGTGTAAAGGCTATGGTGAAGATATATGTTTGATATATCAGACTTCGGTTTTCCCCTGTAATTCATGAAGCACATGGTGGGATGCAGCATTTACCCGCAGCCCATGAGAAAAGGGCACTCGTGCTGGAGCGTGTGGATGCTGAAAAGCTGTAATCTAATGAGAAGCTTGACCAGAGAGAGATGAGAAACTCTGCTCCAGAGACAGAAGAAGAGCTTCTGTTCCCAGAGATAAAAGAAGAGAACTTTTGGGGTATTTTATGCCAGAACAGCTCATCCTTAAAATAGTACCCCATAAGTTGACATGGCCCATGAAAGCAGCTGTGGGAAAGCTGCAAGACATGGGAGGGACTTTCACACTGCAAACAGATTTTCCTTTCCTGGGCAGCTGATTCGCTGTGACATTGAAGCCATGAGAGAACTGTTTCTTGTGGAGAAGTCTCCGTGGCATGGCGATAGAAACTCCTCTCCCTACAAGAACTGATGAAAGACTGTTGTAGAGGTGGTAACTGATTGAAAATCCCAGGTTTTGTCTCTATATTGTCAGTTGGCAAAGAAAAGAAGTTGTGGAGAGGAGCGGAGAA